AATAATAATAATAATAATAATAATAATAATAATAATAATAATAATATTAATAATAATAATAAAAATAAGAATAATAATAATTGTAATAATGATGATTCTTATAATGATATTAGTAATAATTTTGATAATATATAAAGACAACATTTTTTTAAAGAATTTTTTTGCCTTGCTTCGTGCTTTTGGAGTAGATACGGGTCGTTTCTCCGTCTCAGAGGTTTGTGTGAGGGAGATGATGAAATCTATTAAAGTGAGAGTCAAATTTTATCTAAATTTTAAATTTGTCTATGTAATTTATTGATTTCTAACTCACACTGTATGAACGAGCTCCAGTATTGGATTGTCGACATAAGTCTACTGATAACGCTTTCTCCGATAGTTTCCTTCTTAGAATAGGAGTTAGGAGTCCAGATGTCATCTTACTGGAAACATTTTGTAAATTAAAAATTGTGAAATCTTGAAACTTAAGTTTTTTTCCGAGTAGTGAAAAAAGTGAAAACAAAACTTTCATGAACAACTATTTCCAAAACTTTAAACATATGTAGATCAAATTTGCAATAAGGTTTATAAAAGGGTTTTGTGTGCAGCACCATTAGATTGAAAATTATGAACAGATATTTTTAATAAATACAGAGTATTCAGGAACTATATATACAGAGTATTCAGGAACTATATATACATTATATATAAAAAGTATATAAAAACTATATATATATATATATATATATATATATAGAGTATTCAGGATCTATATATGACAGAGTATTCAGGAACTATATATATAGAAACAAATTATTCAGGAATTTAGTATTCAGTATTGAGGAACACTGGAATAAAGAAACCACTCTATTTACTCAAGAGCTCTTATCATTCACCAAAGAATCAAGTCTAATATTCTTAAGCCAAACATTTAGGTTTCTTGGAAAGATAAAAATTTTTTCTAATTAAGAAAAGAGGGTTTAGAAAAAACAGGGAACTGTTTTTTCATCTATTGGTAAAATTACACCAGGTTTCATTATCTCACAATAAGGTACATATGAGTAGGTTGTCAGTTTGTGCAAGGGTACGGAGCTAACTAGTAAAGTCTGTATGTGCGAATAAGGTTTGAAGACTGAGCTGGGACGGAGCTAAGGGAGGACATTGGTCCTCCTCACACCATTCTTAGTCTTTTTTCTCCGGGACGGTTCCGCAGACACTATCTGAGCAGGATAGGCAAGGACTCATTATTCTCTGATTCTTTTAAACTTTTCTGCATTTCTTCTTTAACGAGGGGACAGTATTTAGGCTTCTCTACTAAAGTATTTCTTAAGTTATGGTAATATTGATAAATAATATGGAACATTCATAGTATGTAATTGCAGTACTAAATAAAAAAAAACGTTTTAAGAAACAGAATTAATTTTCTAGAAGTAAAGTTATGGAAGTTAATTGTTGAGAATATATTTTAGGGGCACAGGAAAATTGGTATCCACATTTTGCCGTTTTGTTGTTTCAATGTTGTTTTTGCGTACATTTAATGCTCTTAACCCTGTAAGCTGCATTGTGTCCTTGTTTATAAAGCTCCAGGGGCGCATACAGTGGGGAGCTAACGAGGTCTAAGCCCCCTTGCACCCATGGAATGTCGAAAAAGATTAAGCTCCCTCCCAATTCCTGTATAAACCCCTTCAAGAAAGATCGTTGTATTGATATGTTAGGTTTACAGAGAAAAATAGATATAAAAGGAATAATAAAGATAATAGAATTAATTAATACGAACTGTATGCACTACACATATATTGATTATTAATGGTTGGAGGGTATCTTTATTATCTACATAATATACAATTCGTACTTTGGGTGTCTGTATTTTTGTATTGTCTGCTTGTATGCTTGTATTGTTTGTTTGTATTTTTGTATTGTCCACTTGTTCATTTGTATTGTCTGTCTGTATATTTGTATTGTCTACTTGTTCATTTGTATTGTCTACTTGTTTATTTGTATTGTCTTTTTGTATGTTTGTATTGTCTTTTTGTATGTTTGTATTGTCTGCTTGTATGTTTGTATTGTCTACTATAGTAAAAAGTAAATTGTTTATGTAAATAGACATTGATATCAAATAATAAAACAGAAAACATTACTTCCCTTTATATTGTAGATTTTAGTCTTTTTAACAGTAAATAAAAATATTTTTTTTTTCCTCGAAGATAATTAGTTTTATTTCAGTTCGAAGATAAAAAGTAAATTCAAAAAACTAATCTAGAAACCAACTGACAGAGAAAACTTGAGATAATGAAAAAAGAAAAAAAACTTTTTCTGAAACTCAGCTTCCAAGGGGTTTCTAAACTTAGTCTCTGTAAATCAATCATTAAAAGAATAACTTTTTTATTTTTATCAAAAAGAATCCTTTAGAATAAGGATGTTTTTCACAACATATTTTTTTCTTCATTTCTACAAATAACGGATATCTAAAAGCTTAATGCAATATTTTATTACTATTGATAACAACATCCGCTGTAGCCTAACAGAATAGGGAAACATATATTTTATGACCACAAAAGCATTTTAAATGAAGTTGAGTTTTTATCACAAACTCTGCATTTCTAATACCTATATCTTTGCAACCCAATGTCGTGGACCTTACATATTTAAAAGTATGAATGAAATCAAACAATCAAAGTTCGAAATATCAAAGGTTTACACCATCAGGTTGGAAAGATAAAGGGATAAAATATTAGACTCAATTCCATTGCAGATTTTGTGATTCCTAATTAAGAAAGTAAATTTTATATAGTGTCTTAAAATCTAGAAGAAAACGTTGAAACATTAATTCTATCTATAGGTACAGTAAGGACCAAATAATTGTGAAATAGGAAGACGACATTAAAGCAATCTTTAAGTGTATTTGACGTTGCTACAAAGCAAAAAGGTTTACTACTAGATTTAAATTGGGTCTGGACACTACACAAGCATGCAGTGTCTATGTTCTTTAAGCTATAAAAAAAAATTTATTTGAGTAAAAATTTTGATTTATTATTCCACAGTTTTCTGGTTCTCATTGAACAAGAACCAATTTATGTTAAAATGTTAAAATGTGAAGCTATACAAGTTTTGTAAAAAACTGGACGCTTTCAATTATTTACACCTCTCTTTATAATATAATCTATTGAACATACAACTTTTTATCTAAACTGTCTTTTTTATACATTGTTGGGAAATTATTCTAGGACATTTTCATTGACTTTTTTTTACGTTAACATATATCACAGATCTTGTCAAACTATCAAAACTATCAGCTGATCCTGGTGAACCTACAGGGTGACCCAAAAACAGGGATTAGCGTTTATATTTCAAATGTTCTGGGTATAGGTCTACATATACACCTTGGATTTCAGAAAGCACAGAAGAAAAATCTAGTTGGGATCAGATTCATCAGATAGATGTAAATAATTGTTTCTTTAGCAATATTAGTTAGATGAAGTTAACAGAGAAATTAACGATTAAAGGAACTAAAAAGTTCTAAACCCTGTTTTTTGTGACACCCTGTATGTTTATATATCTTTTTCTATTATTTCAACAATAAATCCAATCCTTGTGGAGTTTAGGTCTGCAGGCTTCTGGACACTCCTTCTTCATCACATCTCTAGCTTCAACCACACTTGCTACAAAGTTGTTCTCCACCAGTTCCCTCTGTGTTGGGAAAGGAGAAGTTCTAGGAAATCTCTGACAGGTGTAGGAGTCATGGGACATAGAACTCCATTTACCCCAAGGCCAGAGGTATCGTTTGAGAAATCCCTGATCAGGACCATAGGAATCACGTTTAGCCCAGAATATTGGATCTTTACTCGCCTCCTGGAAGGATTCTACTATAAGGTTTCTAACCGTAGAGTTTCTAACTCCTAGACTTACTCCCCAACCACTCCCTAGTATTTCTATACCATGAGCAGGATTATCTCGCATAAAGTGGAATGAATGAGGTGAGTTTAACCATTCTGATACTGCAGATGTTTCTCTAGAATTGATTCTAGAATCTAGATCCCTGGATATATATAGATCAACCTGGGGATCTAGGGTTGGGAAGAATCTCCAGTTCATGGCAAACACCTTGCTGATATCAGTAGAGGACGGGAGATTCTTTACATAACAAATATCTAGATTGGTATTTTCACAGGCAAGGTTGCATAGGTCGGTCAGTTGTTGATCTCCAGGTTGGAGATCATAGTAAACCCTGATAATCCAACCTGGATACAGCTCAGGAACAAGATCAAGGTTTTCTTTTATACCCTAAAAAAGAGGAAAATTTAGTTTAAAGGGAGTGACCGGTTGGTAAACTGAGAATTTAGTATTGTGGAGAATTTTTTTGAAGACATATTGAAGACATATAAAACGTTTAATGATGTATAATTACTGAGCTTGAGCGCAAAATCATCCATTAGATTCTTTCTAAAGCAGAAATATGCAAGACACTTTATGTATAAACCACAACTTTCAAAGAGAAGATGATTGATATCTCATACATGATCAGTGTCTTAAATGAATATGTATAATGCACGTACCTGAAAATATTTTCTGTACTTAGATTTGGTTGAGTTTGGGTTCCCGTAGAAAGAGAATCCAATGATCTTCTGTCCTGGTCCCCGGAGATAAGTATCCGAACTGCAGGTGGAGTCAGAAACAGATCCATCCCGGGGGAACCGTCCCAACAGGGTTCTAGTACAATTACAATGTTGCATAGGAACCTGGATCTGTTCCTCTGAGTCATGTTGAGTAAAGTTCCATCCATGTTCTCCTTCAACCTCCAGAATTTTCTTAAATCTTTTACTCGTCCTCAGGGCCCAGTTACTAGCCTTCATAGTTTAATATTTATTCTATAGAGTTGACTGTCAAACCTAATAGTACATTTAACACTTGTTGGAAACCCTGAATGCGCTTGTATATAATTGTATTATATATAATTTTCTGACTTCTATTTATATAGATACCACCCTAAACTAATGATCTGCAATGGCCGAAGAGTGATAAATTATTTTTGTTTCGTTTTATGTTTTTAAAAAAAAATAAATCAGTGAACATTTATTTATTTTATCTAATTAAAAAGCAAACACATAAGACCCCCCCCTTACAGACTGAATAAAGGGGGGTAACTCCCACAACCCAAAAAGTTTGAAAACTTACCTTTGGATTCCAGATATTAAACATGGATTTGATAACAGTTGCTGGGTCGGAGGGATTCAGATACTTCTGATCCTCTGGTAGAACTGTATTTATACCAAGTAAACTAGCGGTAAAATTCAGAAATGGTTTAATATTTATCACGTTATCCGAGTCTTTGTCTTTAATTTTGGACTTTTTTCTAGGTTTCTTTTCTTTAACATCCTGTATAGCCTCACCCTTTGAAGTAAGCTCCACGGTTCCAGTGATCTCAACTCCGAGTTCGGAATGGTTTGTTTCTAAACCTGAAAATGTTTCCTCGGAAGTTCTTTCCGTGTTTTTGTTTGGGACGGATAATAGCGGAGCATGGATGGTTGGACGGTTGGTTGAGGATTTTTTCTCCTCGGAAAGGGGTTTCTTGCCGATAGAGGAGAGGAGCTGTTTAGGGGATCTGTCATAGAATAGGTTTTCCTCATTACTTCGCTAAAAAATAGAAAATATTTGAGAATCTGATTTAGTTATTTAATAATATAAAAGTAGTTAAAAGATATTTCATATAAAGTATTTGAATTGGTGATTTAAGATTTGAACTGGCTGTAGGTAGTTCAGCAACCTCTCCAATTCATTAAATTCAGTCCAGGTTTGACTAGTCTGAATTGTGGAGTATTTTAGGACTAAGAGAGATTAGGTTAGATCTATCAAGAAGTTAGGTTGGATAGTTTAGGAGAGACAAAGATAGTATTCTTGATCCGACCAGAAGTTTGATTGAATTATATGAATATATTTTATTCTTGGATCCAGAGGGAATAGGTTAGTGTTATATTTATCTAGGAGTAAAGTTAGATTTATCTAGGAGTAAAGTTAGATTTATCTCGGAGTAAGGTTAGATTTATCAAGAAGTAAGGTTAGATTTATCTAGGAGTAAGGTTAGATTTATCNTTAGATTTAACTAGTATCATAAGATATATTTAGAATTAAGGTTAGATCTACAATTTTAATATTAGTAATGATTAAAAAATATTTTTTACCTGTTTTACCCCTACAGAGTGGTTTGTATAGAGAACTGTATGGGCGAGGATAAAAAACAATCCAACTCCTCCAACAAGATGAAATTTAAACTTTTTAGCAGAACCCAGAATATATCTGGGAATATTCATCCTAGAAATATTTCCTAAATCTCAATTCTCCGAGAAGGAAATGTATTTATTTAGATTTGGATAATATATTTGATATATCCATGATGATGAATTTATACTTTATGTATATATGGACAAATATATACAAAAGTGTACGTTTATATGTCCTTCGTTGGTTGATTACATAATTATCCAGGTTTTACCAGGACACACAGCTGCAGCTCACAAGAATTAGTTTCTCTTTCCTTCCTGTCGTTCAAATCTAACTGTGCGCGCACTATTTACAATCAAGCACGTAACAAAGTACACCTATCATTGCGGCGCATGGTTCAGGACTAACTCCAGACTCGTCGGATCCATGTTATAGATCCTGGAGCAGGGTTGGTTGGTTCCATGTTATAGCTCCTGGAGCAGGTTTGGTTTACTCCGACAGAGCGTGTTAACATCAGAATTCATGGGAAGGATGCAAAGAGAAATTATTTCCAGGGAGAAATTAGATTGGATTAAATCACTAAATCTTCGCGACGAAAACAAAAATTTTATTATATTGACTAGTGGACTTTCTCAAATCCTTGATTTAAAAACATTTATTAAATAGTTATGATTCTTGTAAGATGAGTATAATTCATTAAAAATGTAAAGAATAAATTGTATATTATAGATATCATATATCTCTAAATATTACATGATATATAAAATAATATAATTGTAGAATAAAATACAAATATAAAGAGCAGATGTAATTTTATTTATTATGTAAATATGTAATGGTATGTTGAATCATAGAATTGCGATCTGTCGATAAACAGTCAATTCATTTCAATGAAATTAAAACTAGCCACCCCATACGTGTCTACATATACTCCTTTTGTTCATTTAAAGTACCGCAGACGACTTTTCATGCAGCCGAAGCTACAGGGTGTCCCACGAAACATAACAGTTGGTAAATAGTTTAGAGAGTCTTTTTCCATTATTTGTTTAGTTGTTTGATACCATAGATCAATGAAAATATTATATGGGAGTCAAGTTATATTAAAATTGATTTCAAAGTAAAATATATTTAA